GTAAAGTTGAAATAAAATCTATTCACTAATTAGATAAGAATAAATTTTTAGATTTACCTTAAATCAATTCAATTTCTTGAAGATTTCATAATTAGGAAATTTTTTTAAAAAAAAGTTAGTTGAGCTTAGGTTCCTGCCTCCATATATAGATATAGACAATGTAATTATGAAACCTAACTGTAATTTTCAATTATTTTGTTCATTCATTTAATAATTAAATTAAAATTTTCATTTATTTTACAATTTATTAATATTTTAATTAGGAAAAAGTAACCCCATTGGTTATATTTCAAGAACTGTTATTAATTATATGCTGTGACCTATAAATTTTTTCAGAAAGAACAAGGAATAATAAAAATTAATTTTGCCTTTAGCCATTTTTTTTTAATAAAAGCTGATTTTGGGATGCGTTGGAAATATGATGTTGAACATATTTATTGACACTTGAGATATGGAAACCATGTTGAGAATTAGTAATTTTTTCTATCATAGGATTATTTTTTCTTTTTATTTCTTGTTTTAATTTTTTTAAAGTAAATCTAGTTAAAAGGGAAAGAACTAATTTTCATTGACATTAGAAAGTAAATGGGACTATACTATAATTTAACCATTTTCTTTGACTGCTGTGAATAGAATTTTTACGGAAACTAGCGGAACCGTTAACGAAGGATTTCCTCAACGTTTAAATATTTTAGATAAAGGGCTTATAAGTCTGAAAAATAGTTTTAGGGACTGGTGTCCGAAAATAGGGTAAGTTCGGGGCTTAAGATTTGCCGTTATAACATTAATGTGCAACCAAAATTAAAAATGATACATCTCAAAAAATAATAAAAATAAAAACACCGGATCTTCCATACAATATTTTCATGATTGGTGAAAAGAGAGGGAATTTTCACGAACCACTGACATCTCCAAGAGTTGAAAGCCATTTTTCAAACCTGCCCCGTCTTCACGTTGCACAACAGTAGCACAAGACCTGTAAAAGCTGTATTACTATTATGGTGGGGCAGAAGGACAGTGAAAGCACTAATTAAATTGACTTCAAGGACTAAAAAGACATCCAAGTCTTGGCGAACGCGCTCGAGTGATAATGATCGAAACACAAAAATTGACTGCTTTAATTGCTTGGAATCTTTATCTTAAGTGTAACTACAGAAAAACGCGTTTAACTCGCCTATCCATGGGACTATATATTAATGTGCAACCAAAATTAAAAACCACATCCATCTTCCATACAATATTGAAAGCATAATCATGAGGGTAGCTTTCCATGCTATGCTTGTTCTGGTGGCTGTATTGTTCTTTGGAGTTGCAAAGTTCTGTTCTGGTCGGAACACGAGCTTCAGCTGTGTAGAAGGGGAGAGAGAAGGCCTCTTGAAGTTCAAACTTTGTTTCAATGACTTATCTGATATGTTGTCTTCTTGGAAAGGCAATGACTGTTGTGAATGGAGAGGAGTAGGCTGTGACAAAAATAACGGACATGTTATCTCGCTTCAACTCACAAGATCCATATTTGGTCAATCTCAATTGTACTTGATTGATGATGTAGAGGAGATTGTTTCAGGTTTGCTCAAGCTGAGATACTTGGAACACCTGGACTTGAGCAGCATTAACATCAACAACAGCCTTATTCCGCCCTCCTTTGGTTTAATGAAGCAGCTAATGTACCTAAATCTCTCTTTTGTGAACTTCAAAGGTAGAATTCCTAGTGAACTCGGAAATCTTACGAGGCTTCGTGTACTTGATCTTTCCAAAAAAATTTTTGGGACATTGAAGGTTGATGATATTTCGTGGATTTCTCATCTCTCCTCTTTGCAACAACTTGATATGAGTGGAGTAAATCTAAGTCACACCTCATCAAACTTGTTCCAGGTACTTGGCATGCTTTCTTCATTATCATGGTTGAGTCTGTCAGATTGTTGTCTAAAAAATTCTCACCTACCATCTCGCAACCATCCCCTTAATTTTACATTTCTTGAAAATATTCAGCACTTTGATATTTCATGGAACTTTTTTCATGGTCCAATACCTATTTTTCTCCAAAACATGACTTCATTGACATTTCTTGATATGAGTACAGCAAATCTAAGCCTTGCTTCATCAAACTTGTTTCAAGTATTTAGCATGCTTCCTTCACTATCATGGTTAAGTTTATCAATCTGTAGTCTCAAATATTGTCACTTGCCATCTCGCAACCATCCTCTTAATTTTACATTGCTTGGCAATATTCAGCACTTAGATCTTTCATATAACTTTTTCCAAGGTCCAATACCTATATGTCTCCAAAACATGACTTCATTGACATTTCTTGATATGAGTACAGCAAATCTAAGCCTTGCTTCATCAAACTTGTTTCAAGTATTTAGCATGCTTCCTTCACTATCATGGTTAAGTTTATCAAGCTGTAGTCTCAAAAATTGTCACTTGCCATCTCGCAACCATCCTCTTAATTTTACATTGCTTGGCAATATTCAGTACTTAGATCTTTCATATAACTTTTTCCAAGGTCCAATACCTATATGTCTCCAAAACATGACTTCCTTGATATTTCTTTCTCTTTATGCCAATCAATTGAGTGGAAGTATTCCAGATAGCATCGGGCAACTTTCTAAGTTAGAGAGCATATATCTTTATGGCAATCAATTGAGTGGGAGTATTCCAGATAGCATCGGGCA